AAGTTTTATAGCCTTTACTTTCATTGTCTAATCCTATCCAACAAGTGATGATACCTTACTGTTGTATTTTTGTAGGATTTTCATTGCAAATGATAATATATTGACCAAATTCGTATATATTATCAATTGTTCTGTGTGTTCTGTAATGTTTATAATGTAGGGTATTATAATTTAAAGCAGCACACAGTGTTCTATTATGAATATAGGTAATATGAATTGCTGCTTTGGCTCATAATGTAAACAGTAATTCAGTAGATGTTAGATATGCTCTTACACCTCTAAATATAGTTTTATGAGTTTGTTCTGCTATTCTGTTCTGTTACAGAGTATGATATACTGTTAATCTTTGTTTTGTTCCTTGTGAATCTAAATATTGTTAGAAATCTTCACTAGGGAATACAGTATTGTTATCACTTTGTAAAAGCTTTATTTTAACTCTGTACTGTGTAAATATTTTGGTTGTCCATTGTACATATTGTGTATATGTATCAGATTTTGTTTGTAATTTGAGCATTATGTACCAACAAGTAGAATTGTCTACAATTGTTAATAAGTAGTGTATGTTCTTATATGTGTACAGTTTGATTGGACCAATAATATTGATATGAATAAGATCTCCAAATTGATTTGTAAGAGGAGATTGACATAGTTTTGGTATTGGTGTACGTTTGATATTTGCTTTTATACATTCAATACATTGTTTTTCTTTATAGTTTGTTATTTTAGTTGATAGTACACTTGGTTGTGTCTTTAATAATCATTTAATATAATTGTAACTTATATGTCCAAGGTGTTTATGTATATTATAAATGGATAGTTTGTTGATTGTTTTTAATAAATGATTATTGTACAAAATATACAAGTTATTTCTCAATCATATATGTCTGATGTATTCATTACATGGTGATGTTATAGTATAATTATTGTTTGTAAACATAAAAGAATAACCTTCCCTACATAGTAGTGCTTGACTTATGAGGGAAAAGGTCATTTGTGGATAGTAATAGACGTTTTGTAATGTTATGACACTTTTTTCTTGTATATTCTCTGGGATTTCAATACACATAGATCCAGCTCAATTAAGAGTCATTGTTGATCTATTTGTAATAGTTACAATTGTAGGAGTTATGTTGTGTACATCCGTTAATCAAAATAGATAAGGAGTAGCATGTATTGATGCACCAGAATCAAGTAAATCCATCATTTGTGTATAGGATTTCTTGTTAGCTATGATTGTATTTGTAAATATGTTGGTACATACCCAGGAAGCATATTGTTCGAATTGTTTGTCCTGGTTGCTCAGAATAAGCATGTAGGCATTATTGTTCATTTCAATGTTGCCTTCTTTTAATTCAACATTGTTTTTGTTTGGGTTTTCAATAATAAATGTATTTGTTGTGTTTTCTACAGTTTGATTCGTTTTATGCACAATGTTAGCTTGATGTTTAGCGTGTGCAAGCTTTGTAGCTTCAGTAGGAGGTTTACAGCATTCCTTAGAGAAATGCCCTGTTTTTCCACAATTGAAACATTTTGCTTTTGTTGGATTGAACAGATTTGGCAGATTGAATTTCCTCTGCTTATTAGCTTTATACATTGTATTAGCATGTACATTATTCTTTGTCCAATTATTGGAATCTTGTGCTCGTTTAGCACAGTAATCATTGTAGGCATTCCACAATGTAAGGATTAGTTGCTTTGGTTCAACTTTCTTATGTTCATCAACTGGTTTGCCTTTGTTTTGAGCATCAGTAGATTGTATTATTGTATTTACTATGTGTGTATATTGCTCAGGAGTGGCAAGCAATATTGCTGCTTTGTATGTAGAGTTGCATGGTGGATCACTGTTAGCAGACAGAGTTGTGTATGCTTCCTCAAGTCTGTCTAATGTACATCCAAAATGTTTTACATAGTCTCTACAAATAAACAGTGCTAATTCATTAATGGCCTTTTTATGTGCCATCTGGGGGTTAAAGTGTTCTTCAAGCACTTTCATTAACTGAGGGATAGACATATCAAAGTGTATATAGTTTGCCAATATTGTGTCAGCAATGTTATTAACTATGCATG